GCAGAAATAGCTTTTCTGTACTTTATAGAATCTCACTCTTTTTTAAAATTTAAATTTATTGAACAAATGCTTATGTAGAACGAACCATGTGCCAGGCACTGTTCTCAGCACTTAACCAAAACAGGTTCCTTTATTCCCCTGATGGCTCAGTAAGGGAGCTACTTTTCTTATTCTCCTTTTAACAAATGAAGGAAGGAGGGAACTGAGAGCTTGATGACTTGTTCAAGGCTACAGAGCTGGTGGTAAGCAGAGTAGAGATTCAAACCCAAGCCCCAGAGTCTACAACCTTCATGGCTAAGCTACACTGTCCTTCACTCCTTTATCATGTAATGTCTATTGAGTGTCAACTGCATGCTAGGTATTTTGCTAAGCACTAGGGATTCAGGGCTGATGACTTTTTACTTCAGCAGTTGTGACACGGGAAAGAAGGAAAGAGGCACAACTGAGCACTCATTGGGAGGTTTCATGATTACTTCCCTTTATAGAGTAATCATGTTATAGACTAATCGTGTTCTCGGGGAGAAACAGGAAGTACTGTGCTCAAGGTTACCCAGCCTGGAAATGGGCAAGTCTGGCTAGGAATCTAGGCTCCCCTTTCCACATGGTTAGTGTGTTGATGTGGATTTTTGCAGGATGGGCAGCTCGTAGGAGGCTTTCAATAGAAGTTTCCACTGGCCTCTGCCTGCCCCAGCCCTGTCCCTGCCTGGGCAGGTTCTGGGCCTTGGACCAGCTCCCTTTCTGAGCTGGCATGCGTGGGTGTCCCTCTCCAATCACTTGGCGGAAGGGCTGAAACCAAATCCTTCTGCTACCCTGTGTCCCCGAGGAGGCCACAGCATGTGTTTGTCCAGCTGGGGGAAGCTCAGGCCTGATTTGTGGGGATAGCAGTCAGGGTCTGAGGCTCTCAAGTAGGGATAAAACTATCTGTGTGAGCTGGTTTCCAACACAGGGAGGGTCCTGTGAACTACCTGATCCTGTAAGACCCTGTCACCTGCCAAAGGCAAAGGGCCCCTGATCTGAGGGGTTGGGGCCAGCAGGATTCAGGATTTCCAAAACACTGACATTTGTGATGTAGCCAATGTCCACTGAGAGGCAGGACTGGGAGGTTCAGGGTTGGGGGCTGGGTCAGATGGGCCTGCGATCCAACCCCACCACTTACTGGCCCTGTGATGCCAGAGGCAAGTCACTCTGCCTTCTCGAGCCTCAACTTGCTCATCTGTAAAATGGGGAAATACTAGTTTCCATCCCAATGGGATGTCATGAGGACAAAATGGTGCAGTCAGCCCTCTGTAAATGTCACCATAACAACGGTGTCCAACACCAGCCCTCACAACCCCAGGGAATCTCTGGCTGACAGCCTCTGACCCTGGAGAATTAGCACTGGGGTAGACTCCTTGTTTTGGGGCCCCCTGCCTTCCAGATGGAGCCTGGGCTCTGGGGTCCCCACAGTGCTTGGGGTGGCACCATTGTTGAAACAGCAGTGCCTTCCCTCACACAGTCAGGGAAAGCTGTGTCCAAGAGCCCGTCTGCTGCTGATCAGCTCCGCCGTTATCTGGGGGTGCCAGACGGGATTCTTCCAACAAGAGGTTTGTAACAACAGGAAGTTGGTGAAGTTCGGTTGGCTGTGTGCACTGCACTAACGGCCTGTCATTTCTCTCCCTGGACCCCTTTCTTGGGGCTTTTTTGGGCCATTGGCAAGTTTGCATTCTTTCTTTCCTTGCCCGTCGGCTTTTCCTTGTTAGCCCTAGTTAGCCCAAGAACTGAGATGGGCACATGTCTGAGTTCAGTGCCGCCAAAAAACACATAGCCCAGGCCTTGGGTATGCCATGTGCAAGCAAGTATATGGTTAGAAGGTGTCATAAGTGCTGCCAAGAAAATGAACAGGACAGAGAACAGTACAGGAGGCAGCGTTGCAGGGATGAAGGTAGGGGAGGATGTCCCAGGAAGGGGGGCCGGCACAGATGAGTCCCTGAAGCCAGAACATCTCTTGAGCCTTCAATCCAGGTCTCCTACCCTCTGGAAGCCCCTGTGACTCAAACCTCTCTCCCCCTTGGATGTCAGGTGGATTGATTAGTGTTCCAAGAAGAAGGAGCAGCAAGTGCAAAGGCCCTGTGGCAGGAACAAGCTTGGTGGGTATATTTGTTTCCTGTGGCTGACATAACAAAGTACCACAAACTGGGTGGCTTAAATAGCAGACATTTTTTACCTCATAGTCCTGGAGGCTGGAAGCCTGAGATCAAGGTGTCAGCAGAGCTGGTTCCTATTGAGGGCTGCGAGGGAGAATCTGTTCCATGCCTCTCCCCTAGCTTCTGGTGTGGCTGGAAATCTTTGGTGTTCTTTGGCTTCACCCCAACCTGTGCCTTCATCTTCACATGGCATTCTCTCTGTCTGTGTGTTTGTGTCCAAATTTCCCTGTTTTAAAAGGATGCCAGTCCTATTGGATTAGGGGCCTCCCCCCTACTCCAATACGACTTCATCTTAATTAATTACATCCACAACAAACCTATTTCCAAATAAGGTCACATCTTGCGGTACTGGGGGGGGGCGGTTAGGATTTCAACCTATGAATTTTGTTAGGGGTGGATGACACACAATTCAACCTATGACAGCATGTTCCAAAAACAGCAAGGCTGGAGCAGAGAAAAGGAGGCTGCAGTGGGAGGTGGGATGGTGGAACAGAGTAAGGAGTGTAAGAGTAAGAGTGGGATTTGTTCCGGGCATCCAGGCCTGTTCTGAGTATGTCATTCCATCTGGGGAGCAGGAGAGAGACTGCAGAACAGAGGAACTGGAGATGCTCAGGGGCAGTGTGGCCACTGCTTGGCAGGAGTTGAAGGACTGAGGGTAGAGAAATCAAGACCACATGGCCCCGGGGGAAAATGTCTGGGCTGTTTCCAAGCTGCTGAGCAAGGGATTCCTGAGGGAGCAGGGGCTGGGCCGGCTTGGGATTTAAATCCAGGTTCACCATATTGCACTGTGTGACATTGGGTAAGTTACTTAGTGTCTCTGGGCTCCAGTTTCCTCATTTGTCAAATGAGGGCACCATTCAGAGGATTAAATGGAAGAAGGCACACAGCTGGAGGAGCAGAGTCGAGGCCTCACTGTGTGCCAACTGCTCTGAGACGTGATCTAGTGACATCCTTACCACCAGCCCATTTTATAGATGATGAGACGGAAGCTCAGAGAGGGCAAGCGACTTGCCTAAGGTCATGCAGTGAGAAGGTAGCAGGAACTCAAACTGAGCCTGACCAGTTCTGACACATGCACCCTTTTCCCTCCATAAACTTTCAAAAAAAGGTCAGCATCCCTCTGCCCATCACGGAGGTGGGGCAGAGCCCAGCTCCGCTGGCTCTCCCTCTGCTCAGAAGGGGCTGGGAGGGTGTTGTTTGCAGTTCTTGCAAATGTGCACTGTGCCACCATTTGAGTCCTGTTGCCTGGAGAATAAAAACCCTGGGTGCCTACTATGTTCCAGGCTCTGCCTAAGATACTCAACCTGGTATATACCCATTTTCCAGATGAGGAAATGGCTAAGAGAAAAGAAGGGACTTGCTTCTCCTGGAGGTGGAGCTGGGCTTCATGCCAGGCGCCTGACCCCACCCCAAGCTCTGCTTACTTTGCTATGCAGCTCCTTCCTCAGTGGAGAAACGCCTTCCTTTGAAAGAGGGCTCAAGGTGGCCTGAGATGTGTAGGGGAGACACAGTTCTCAGGGGGCCTCCCTTGCCAGCCCTGAGGCTAGACCCCCAGGAGTGCCATTGTGCATTCTCCCCTGAGGAGAGTTATTCTAACCCTGGGGTGTTTGTACAAAGCAACCAGCCTCTACACATGGAGGCAGCCCTGTCCTCCTGACCCTGGCGGACGATGTGCTGGGCTGGCCTCGTGGGACCTTGAGTGACACCAAGAGCACGAAGCATCTCTTCCTTGTCCCTCCTGCGCCTCTGCCCTTCTGAGCTGGGTGGTCCCACCTCCCTGCCAAGAGCCAGGAGGGAAGGGAAGGAGGTGTGTGTCCTCAGATGCCGGCACTATTTTTGGAGCTCACTTTGATCCTTGATTCTGGGACATGTGGCTGTGACAGGCTCTTGGAGCAAACCCTGCTTGAATACAGTCAGCCACGGATGCTGGTATGCCCCCCGGCGGCTCTGACCCTGGCACTTCTGGGGTTGAGCTCTCATCCTCCAATCTGGATGCTTTTTCTTTCTTTTTCTTGCCTAACTGCCCTGGCTAGAACCTCCAGGACAATGTTGCATGGAAGCAGCCAGAGCAGACATCCCTGCCTAGTTCCTGATCGTAGGGGGAAAGTGTCAGTCTTTCACCATTGAGTATGATGTTAGCTGGGGTTTTTGTAGGTGCCCTTTGTCAGGCTGAGGAAGTTCCCTTCTATTCCGAGTTTGTTGAGTGTTGTTTTTTATTGTTTTAATCATGAAGGGGTGTTGGTTTTGTCGATTGCTTTTTTCTAAAAGATATCTTCTTTTAAAATGCTCCAAGCCATATTTAAAATAGATAACCAACAAGGACCTACGGTATAGCACAGGGAACTCTGCTCAATATTCTGTGATAACCTAAATGGGAAAAGAATTTGAAAAAGAATAGATACATGTATATGTATAACTGAACCACTTTGCTGTACACCTGAAACTAACACAGCTTTGTTAATCAACTATACTCCAATATAAAATAAAAAATAAAAGACAAAAATAAATAAATAAAATGCCCCAAGCTAGCCCACTCTACCTTCCCAGGGCAAAAACTTAAATGTAGAGTCGAAACGTGATTTGCCAAGTCATAGCTCAGGCACTCGTGTGTCACTGCTGTAGAATAGATGTTAAGACGGTGGACTTGGTAATACAGGCAGTGGCCACTGCTCTTTGCACAGGCCAGGACTCTCTTCTCTTCTCTGGGTACCCCCTCTCGGAATTGAGACAACAGCCCAGTGAGGGCTGGAGGGAGAAAGGTTGTGCTCTGGCTGCCCCCAGCCCCCTTGGCGCTCACCCCCGCCCCTCTGTCCCCAGGCCTATGAGAAGCGCTTCCCCACCTGCCCGCAGATCCCCGTCTTCCTGGGCAGCGAGGTCCTACGCGAGTCCCGCAGCGCTGATGGGGCGGTGCACTTGGTGGAGCGGAGCTGCCGGCTGCGGGTGGAAGCCCCGCGGCTGTTGCGGAAGGTGGGCGCGGAGGGGGTCCTGGAGAACCAGGGACCCCGCGGAGGAGGGGACCGGAGGGGTGGTAGGGGATGGTGGGCGGGGGACCTGGGACCAGGGAGTGGGTTCAGGCGTTGGAGTGAGTGTGTATTGGTACCCGGAGGGCGTTCTGGGCTGGGGGCCTCCCATGTCCAGGAGAGACGAGGGCCGGGAGGCTGGGCTGAGACTGTAGGAGGACCAGGGACAAGAGGAAGTCCCGGGGTCCGGGAAGTCGGGGGAAGGGGGAAAAGTCGGGGATCCGGGCTCTGGCTGGTGGGCAGGTGCGGGGCAGGGGGCTGGGGGTCCCGGGGTCTGAGGGTGACAGGCGCCAACACTCTGGGTTCGCGCCCCCAGCCGCCACCTCACGTCCAGCACGCACGTCCCTGCTGCCCTGTCCCTGCAGATTGCAGGCGTCGAGCACGTGGTCTTCGTGCAAAGAAACGTCTTGAACTGGAAGGAGAGGACTCTCCTCATCGAAGCGCACAACGAGACCTTCGCCAGCCGCGTGGTGGTCAAGGAGAACTGCAGCTACACGGTGAACAGCGGGCTGGAAGCCCCGATATATATGTATTAGTTTAAGCAGTCTCAAAAACTGCTTGGGACATACTAAAATATTATTCGTGTTTATCTGAAATTCAAGTGTGACTGGGCATCTTGTATTTTATTGGCTAAATACAAGACCCTGCCTCCCCACCCCCTTAATGAAACTGTGCCTCAGTTTCTTCACCTGTAAGATGGGGTTAATGATTGTACCTACCACATAGGTTGTGGTGAGGATTAAATGAAGTAAAATATCTGAACCCCTTAGAGCAGTGCCTGGCACATACTAAGTCCTGTATACGTGTTAACTTTTTTTTTCTTTTTTGCGGTATGCGGGCCTCTCACTGTTGTGGCCTCTCCCGTTGTGGAGCACAGGCTCCGGACGCGCAGGCTCGGCGGCCATGGCTCATGGGCCCAGCTGCTCTGCAGCATGTGGGATCTTCCCGGACCGGGGCACGAACCCGTGTCCCCTGCATCGGCAGGCGGACTCTCAACCACTGCGCCACTAGGGAAGCCCACGTGTTTAACTTTTTATAAAATTTTTTATTGGAGTTGATTTACAATGTTGTGTTAGTTTCAGGTGTACAGCAAAGTGAATCCGTTATACATATATCCACTCTTTTTTTTTTTTAGACTCTTTCCCATATAGGCCATTACAGAGTAATGAGTAGAGTTCATGTTAACTTTTAATGTAATTAATGATAATTATTATTCTCCAGTACATACTGATTGAGCGCCTACTATATGCCAGGCAACCTGACAAGTCCTGGGCACCCAGCAGTGGACCAATCTGCCTGACCATTGCCTTCACGGGACTTCCATTCCAGTGGGAGACACAGATGAGAAAAAAAAAATCAATATATACTTACAACTTTGTCACAGTACTAAGAAGGGATCCAGAGTTACAGAAAATAAGAGGAGGTGACAGTGTCTTAGGTAACAGTGTCCCCCAGGCCTCTCTGAGGACATGCCGCTGAAGCTGAGATCGGAAGGATGAGAGGGCTGGGAAGAGAGTTCTGGAGGAGGAAACAGCACGTGTGAAGACCCTGAGGTGGATGAGGGAGGTCTGAGAATGGGGGCTGCAGGGGCCGAGTACTGCTGGCCTCGGGGCTGCAGTGAGGAGTTTGGAGGCATTTGCTGGGATGAACCCAGCTCTGCCACTTTCTTGCTGAGTGACACTGGGCAATTGCTTCCCCTCCCCGGGCCACCCTTCCATATCTGTAAAATGGGGACAGCAGCAGAACCCGCCTCACTGGGCACTGGGAGAAGCAAATGAGGTAATGTAGGTAAAGCCCCTTAGCTGATGCTACATCCCAGATGGTTAGCTCAAGGTGGTAAATCCAGGGTAAAAAATGTGGCCCATTACAGGTTTTTTTTTTTTTTTTAATTGGTTGTGCCGCATGGCTTGTGGGATCTTAGTTCCCTGAACAGGGATCAAACCTGCGCCCCCTGCAGTGGAAGCATGGAGTTCTAACCACTGGACCGCCAGGGAAGTCCCCTGGGTGTTTTTGATGTGTCTTTGCCCAGCCTCCTGTTTGGGAGACCTTGCCTCATTCATCTGTCTGGTCCCTAGACACTTTGTGTGGTGCCTCGTATACAGCAGGCATCCAGTAAATTCTCACCGCTTTTTCCTTCCACATTTTCAGCTCCTCTTGGAGCTTCCTGGAAACTGAGTCCAGGATGTTTACCTCTGGGGAGGTGTTGGTGGTAGTTTTTTATGTCACTTTTAGTGTAGTGTTTCTTAGAGTGAGTTCTGCCAACAGCTGGTGAGTGGTATCACCAAGGCTGCTTGTAAATACAGATTCTAAGGCCCTACCTTGGACCTGTTCAGCCCAGGCATCTGCATATTTAACAGATGCCCTGCTAATGCTTCTGCCCACGGAAGTTTGAGAGGCACTAAGGCTGGGTCTGCACAGTAGCTCTGTCCATGAAATTTGTCTTTGCTTACATATATATGCATATTCATTTATGATAAAGATATGATATATAAATACATATTTTTAAAATATAAAATATAGTATTTATGTATAATTTATTTATAATGGTATATTAAATATGTTATTTAAATATATCACTACGTATGTACAATTTTTAAGGGATGGGAACATTGGTCTCACTTTCTTTTGGTCCCTCCTGAGAGGGCTCTCTGTTCTCTAAGGCTTTAGACCTTGCATTGTTCTGGGCAGGGCCCTTTGGTACTGCTGCTGCCCTTGGGTGTTGCCAGGCTGTGATGTGCTGTCCACTGCATGCTCTAGCTGGTCCAGGTCTCCAAGAGAGCCCCCTGGGGAGGGCACGGCATCTCCCACACTGAGACCATGTCACTGCCCCTGCCTGGCTTTCAGGTCCACCCTGAGAATGAAGACTGGACATGCTTTGAGCAGTCTGCCTCGCTTGACATCCGGTCCTTCTTTGGCTTTGAAAGTGCCTTGGAGAAGATCGCCATGAAGCAGTACACAGCCAACGTCAAGAGGGTAAGAGACGGGTTCCATAGGTCATACAGAGGAAGGTGCACAGACCTCAGAGCCTGCGGATCCCGATCTGCCACCCCAAGACCCTTAACCTTCCTCAGCCTCAGTCTCCTCATCCGTGGAATGGGTATTCTAATCAAAGTCATATCACATGAGATAATGGATGGAAAGCACCCGGTCCATAATGGGGGCACCATAGTCATTGTCCTAAAGCTCCTAGGCTTGGGCAGTGAACTCTCTGGACAGAGGGACATTGTGCACTGCTTGGTTTAAAGATCTCAGACCCATCACTGAGTGGAGGCCTGCTAGTGTAGTGAAACAGGTGAACTTCATTTTAATAATATATTTTATCCACGTGTTATCAATATAAAACTTACTTGTGTGCTATTTTACATTCCTCGTTTGGTACTATGTCTTGGAAATCTGGTGTGTATTTAACACTCCCAGCACATGTCCCTTTGGACTGGCTGAATTTCAGCTGCTCAGTAGCCACGTGTCAGGCTGGCTGGGGCCGGAGCCAGGAGGGGGCGACTCCCAGGCTGAACTCCGAGGTACTGATGTGTCTCTCTGACCTCCAGGGGAAGGAGGTGATCGAGCATTACCTGAATGAGCTCATCTCCCAGGGCACCTCTCACATTCCCCGGTGGACACCTGCCCCAGTCCCAGAGGAGGACACCCACTCCCAGGCTGGGCTGAGGGATCCTGGCTCCCTGGAGGTCTGCGGGCCTGGTAGCGCCCAGGGCCCTGCTCCCGAGATGGTCAGTACTGATGGTAGGTCTCAGCCAGCCAGCCAGTTCTGTTCTGGGGTCTGCAGCTTGTTTGCTCACTCTTGGGGGGAGGAGGTGGGGGTGGGGAGAGTTACCAAGGGTCCCCTTGGTGTTGGGACTCAGCTTCCTCCCTCTCCTGGCTGCTTTGCCTTCTCTGTGCTCCAGCCCAAGAGGCAGAACTGACTTATTTCTAGATCAGGAATTGACTGATCTGGTACCTCAGGGCTGCCGTTTCCTCTGTTTTATTAATATTCTATATTAAATGAGTAATGCATGATCGTGGTAGAAAAAAATTGAAACTGCTCAGAAGATGTGAAGTAGGAAGTAAGACTCCTTTCCTCTCACTGGAGGCAACTACAGTTTTTCCTGAAATTATTTAGGCATATATACGTACATAATACGCACACACACGTGTATACACTCATACACACATGTGTAACCTACACTGAACAAATGAGAGCATATATACATTCCATTCGATATTTTGCTTTTTTTTCACTTACCAATGTTGCTTGAACAGCTTTTTGTATCAGTGCATGTGTATTGGCACTTTGCAGTATTTTGTGGTGTGGTTGCACCATTATTTATTTATTAATAAAGATTGATTATTTATTATTTTAGGTTTTTTTTTAGCTAGTCTCCTATTGATGGACATGTAGATTGTTTCCATTCTTTTTAAAAATGCAAATAATGTGGTACCTCTTTTACTTAAGGTTTTAAAAAATATTTTCATGAGCACATATATATATAGCATATAATTTTGAGTTGATTTGCTGAGTCAAATGTTATATGCAACTAAAATTTTGGTAGATTTATCAATTAGGCCTGCAAAGAGGTATAGTAGTTAATGTTCCCACCAAAAATGTGTAGCTGCATCTATTCCGGACTTTATCCCAGCTACCTCGAGACTATTAGTAAATGTTTTAAACTTCTGAAGGGCAAAGAGTGACCAATGGTAGATTAGTGGCCATTTATTTCTTTATGAGTGAGGTCGTTTTATTTTTTCATGTTTGGTTTTTTCTTTTCTTTCTTTCTTTCTTTTCTTTTTCTGTGAATTCCTGTTCTTGTCCTATGTCCATTCTCCTGTTTTTCCATCAATTTCTTATTGCCTTGTAAGAGCTCTTTGCATATTAAGGCAATTAGCCCTTTGTCATATTTCAGACTCTCATCGACATGGAAAATGTTCACAATATAGTGTTAAAGGAAAAAACCTAGGACACACAATTGCACATGCCCCATGAATCCAGTTTTAACCATGTGCACTAATGCCCACAATGACTGTTTTCTCTTTGGGACCACTGAAGTGTAAGCGCTTGCCTGACACAGAGATATGCCACAAAAATACATCTGGGGCTGTGTTTAGGGAGAACGAAATTCATTTGTTCAACAAATATTTATTCTTCACCAACTGTGTGCACTAGATGGCTGCTGTTGTGCGTGTGCTTTTAAAATATTAATTTTTTTTTTTTTTTTTTTTACTGCACTTCTGCCCTTTTCTGTGCGCACACTCTGTGTGTCGTGCCCTGTGCCCTCCCCATTTTGCACTAGGCCTTCCCTTCCCTTTCTGTCTGTGCTGTCCACCAGCAGAGCCAGTACTCAGGATGGCTGGAGGGAGGCAGGATCATGCCCCTTCCACCCTGCTCTGTGTCACTGAGCCTTTGTGCTCAGAAGGAGAAAGGGGCCTCACATCTGCCTGGAGGCCGGAAGGAAGCTGGCGTCTACTGCCTCCCTCGTGTTTCCTCCCTCATCCCCGCCTTGCCCCCTCCCTGTCTTCAGCATCTCTACTTCTGACCACGCTGAGGTGTTGCAGGGGCTGGGTGGTCCCTCCACAGCATTCCTCCTGACTCTGTTTACCCAGGTGGCTACTGGTGCAGTTGCCATGACCACCAGCCCTGGGCTTTTTTTGTTTTGGAGGGAAACGCTGGGTCCTGCTGCTGGATGTGTAGACATTCTGTTTGTTTTCTTATTGTGCCCTCTGCACACAAAGAACAGTCTATGCCCATGAAGGCTGCTCTTTGTGGACCATCTGCACCCAGGGCTGAGATGCTAAGATGCTGAGATGCCTCACCATGCCAGCATCCGCCACCACAGCAGTTCAGAGTGGGCAACAAGACCTCAGCTCCGAGTCCCGCCTCTAAATGCCGGCACATGCTGACCTCAAACAGCCCAATTGTGCGAGACAGGATTGAACAGCGGGCATGATCCATGCAGCTCCCAGGCTGTATTTTGGGGTCAGGGCTTTGTCTACCCAAAACCTCGAACCCCACAATGGGGCTGGGAGGTGGGAAGGCAAAAAGGACTGGTACTTATCCGCTGCCTCCTTTATGCTGGGCACACCACAGGCATTTACTTGTTTGAGTTATGGAACCTCTCTTGGCCTCAGTTTTGTCTTCTCTAAAGTGGGAACAATAGTGACACCCACCTCCTAGGGCTGTTGGGAGCTGGCTCAGATGATGCATGTCAGTAGACATGAGCTCATGTTGTCAATAATCTTCAGAGGGTGGGGCAGCTCCAGAGGGTGGGAATTTGTTTTTTAATTGGAGTATAGTTGATTTACAATTATTTTTTTTTAACAACAAAAAATGATTTATTTGCAACACAGCCCAGTCCCCATCATTTCAATACAGCACAGGAGTAGGAAAGAGTCACACTGCAATCATCACACTGCCAAGCTGCTGAGGGATCCTGGCTCCCTGGCTTCAGTTAGACACATATGTATTCTTTTTTTAATATTCTTTTCCATTATGGTTTATCCTAGGAGGCTGGATATATTTCCTTGTGCTGTACAGTAGGACCTTGTTGTTTATCCATTCTAAATGTAATAGTTTGCATCTACCCACCCCAAATTCCCAGTCTATCCCTCTCCCTTTCCCCCTCCCCCTGGCAACCACAAGTCTTTTCTCTATGTCTGTGAATCTGTTTCTGTTTTGTAGATAGGTTCATTTGGGTCATATTTTAGATTCCACATATAAGTGATATCATATGGTATTTTTCTTTCTCTTTCTGACTCACTTCACTTAGTAAGATAATCTCTAGTTGCATCCATGCTGCTGCAAATGGCATTATTTTGTTCTTTTTTACGGCTGAGTAATATTCCATTGTATATATATACCACATCTTCTTTATCCAACCATCTATTGATGGACATTTAGGTTGTTTCCATGTCTTGGCTATTGTGAATAGTGCTGCTGTGAACATAGGGGTGCATGTATCTTTTTGAATTACAGTTTTGTCTGGGTATATGCCCAGGAGTGGGATTGCTGGATCATATGGTAACTCTATTTTTAGTTTTCTGAGGAACCTCCATACTGTTTTCCATAGTGGCTATATCAACTTACATTCCCAGAGGGTAGGAATTATCTTGATTTCTGAGGGTCAAAGGGACACATCACTCAGCACAGTGAGATCCAGGCTTGCCCCAGCATGAGTTTTTAGAATCACCTTGGAAATGGGTTGGGAACACTAGAAGATCTGAAGACCAGTGGCTAATTGGTGAAAGGGTCACCGTGTGCTTGGAACTACGTTTAGGATTCAAGGTAGCCAGTAAGGCAAGGGTTTCAGAAAGGGTAGACCATGCAGCATCTCCTGCTGTCCTGAACCCCCTTTTCTCCTCCAGGGGACAAGCTGGATGCAGACTACATTGAGAGGTGCCTGGGCCATCTCACACCCATGCAGGAGAGCTGCCTGATCCAGCTGCGGCATTGGTTGCAGGAGACCCACAAAGGCAAGGTGGGTCAGGGCTGGGGCTGTAGCGACTCAGCCTCAGGCATGGGGGGAGGAAGGGCCAGGTAAGTAAGTCTGTGTAATTAGCAATGCTGGACACTTCTATTTGGCCTTCTTTTGTTATATCTTGTCTCATGCACTCTGTACGTAGCACTGATAGCATGGTTTCCCATCCTTGGCATAGTTGACATTTGAGGACGGACAGTTCTTTATGGGGGGCCGTCCTGTGCACCATAGGGCATCGGGCAGTGTCCCTGGACCCCACCCATGAGAGGTCAGGAGCTCTTCTTCCCCAGCTGTGACAACCAAAAGTGGCTCTAGACATCGCCAATGTCCCCTGGGGAGCACAGTCATAGCACAGTCACCACACAGTCACTGTGTTCACAAAGCCATGCATACTGTTCTTTTCTAAGAGATTTAATGATTTGCGAGGGTTGATTTTTGACTGCACATGGGCTTTGCCTTTAGACTCTAAGCCCCACTCATGAGTGTCCACCATGCCTGTAGGTCTCAATCACGGGCCTGACCTTCAGCTCTGTTGAATAAGAGCTTCCAGCCTAGTCGTGAGTTGCTTGCCCTTCTTCCCCTCCCCCCACCGGGGGGCAGACAAGGGAGTTACTTTAGTGTTGGGCTGGGATGTAACCTGTTTGCCTGTTTCCTCATCTGTAAAATGGGTACAATGTGAGCACACCCCCTGCCCCCGGAGTGAATTACAAGGGACAATCCACTCCGTGTCTGGCTCAGCACAGCACTCAGGAAAGTGCACTTTTTATGGGGGCTGGCTTTCCCTTGACTGTTGATACTTGCCTGAGGGAAGGAAGGAGAGCGGTGGGCTTTAGCTTGTCACCGCTGCATGTTAGTTAGAGTCTGGGTTATATGTGTTAGGAATGCAGCTTGAATCAACCAGACAAAAAAAGCGGGGTAGGGGTTTAATTGGCTCATATAACAAACTGTTAAGTGGGGTGTGTTAGTTTTCTGGGGCTGCTGAAACAAAATACCACAGACTGTGTGTCTCAAAGCAACAGAAAGTTATTCTCACAGTTCTGAAGGCCAGATGTCTGAAATCAACGTGTCAACAGGGTTGGTTCCTTCTGGAGGCTGGGTGGGTTGGGGGAATCCGTTCCATTCCTCTCTCCTGGCTTCTGATGGCTGCCAGCAGTCCTTGGTGTGTAGATACGTCACTTCCAGTCTCTGCCTTTGTCTTCACATGGCCTTCTCCCCTCTTTACATTCTGTGTCTGTATCCAAATTTCCCTCCTATAATAAGGACAGCAGACATTGGAGTAGGGCACCCCCTAATAGAGTATGACCTCATCTTAACTAATTACTTCTACAAAGAGCCTATCTCCAAATAAAGTCACACTCCGAGGTTCTGGGTGGACATGATCTTGGTGGGACACCATTCAGCTGACCCCGCAGCCTGTCTCAGGGGCTGTCTCAGGACTTCTTTTTTTTTGAATATTTATTTATGTATTTGGCTGCAGCATGCAGGATCTTGTTAGTTGTGGCACGCGGGATCCTTGGTATGTGGGATCTATTTCCCTGACTAGGGATCGAACCCGGGCCCCCTGCATTGGGAGTGCGGAGTCTTAGCCACTTGACCACCAGGGAAGTCCCATGAAACCAGGACTTACATGCTGTCGAGGTCTCGAGGTCTCTTGGTTCTTGTATCCGTTTATGTCTGCTTCATCCCCTCAGACATGCTTCCTTGTTGAGATTGGATCTGTGGCTGCTTACAGATTTTTTTTTTTTTTTTGCGGTACGCGGGCCTCTCACTGTTGTGGCCTCTCCCGTTGCGGAGCACAGGCTCCAGACGCGCAGGCTCAGCGGCCATGGCTCACGGGCCCAGCCACTCCGCGGCATGTGGGATCCTCCCGGACCGGGGCACGAACCCGTGTCCCCTGCGTCGGCAGGTGGACTCTCAACCACTGCGCCACCAGGGAAGCCCTGCTTACAGCTTTGAGTCTCCCCTTTGCCTCGGTAGAGAAAGGGATTCATGCCCCTTTCTTCAGATTTAAAATTGTCTAAATGCTCTGATTGGCCTGGCATGGATTTTGTCCACCGGAGGCCGTGGGAGTGGGGTCCTGTGATTGGCAACGCTAACTAAAACCACCGTTGGTGTTGGGAAGGGGGCAGGAAAAGCAGTTCCCCAAGAGAAAAGAGATGTCACCGCCAGCACAGGAGGGGAAATTAGGAAGCCCAAACTCAGACATTCACTGCAGTCCACCGTTGGCTGCGTCGTGGTTGAGTTTAACGTCCTTTTCCCAGCTAAGTGTTTGTCAGATAAGACAGGAGACTCATTTTCCAGTTTCACCGCCGGGCTTAGGGAATTCCACGCTAAAGGCTTTCTCCTCCTTCTCTTCTCAGATCCCCAAAGACGAGCACATCCTTAGGTTCCTGCGGGCTCGAGACTTCCACCTGGACAGGGCCCGTGAGATGCTGTGCCAGTCCTTGAGCTGGCGAAAGCAGCACCAGGTGGACCTCCTCCTTCAGACCTGGCGACCCCCTGCCCTCCTGGAGGAGTTCTACGCAGGGGGCTGGCACTACCAGGACATAGGTGCGTCTCTTTACCTACATAACATGGAGTGTACACTTGGGTCACTGTCGAATGCACGTTGAATGCCCCTTCTCATCTTAGCATCTTATTATTTTTCCTTTTGGCTCTTCTGGGCATCTGGAGATGGCTTTGAGGTGATAACCCAGCCGTGAAGGCAGAGCTGGAATAGACGTTTGGGCTGGAGACAAGATGTTTCTCCCAGAGGCTGGGTCAGCCCACCATTACTTTTTGGCTGCATGAATACTGACTGCATTAGTGTCCTGGGACTGCCTTAGCAGATTACCACAAACTGGGCGGCTTAAAGCAATAGCAGTTTATCCTCTCATTGTTCTGGAGGCTAGAAGTCCAAAATCAAAGTGTCAGCAAGACGGTGCTCCCTCCGAAGGCTCTGGGGGAGATCCTTTCTGCCTCTTCCAGCTTCTGGTGGCCTCAGGTGTTCCTTGGCTTGTGGCCATGTCACCCCAATCTCTGCGTCTGTCTTCACACAGCCTCCCCTCTCGGTATCTCTCTGTGTCCTCTCCTCATCTTTTAAAGACCCCAGGTCACTGGATTTAGGGCCCACACTGATCCAGCATGATTTCATCTTGAGATCCTTAAGTAATCACATCAGCAAAGACCCTATTTCCAAATAAGGTCACATTCTGAGGTTCTGGATGGACATGAACTTTGGGGAGGACACTGTTCAACCCACTACAAATATCATCTCTGGATTTTTTATTAATCTGCCATTGACGCCAGCGCCTGTTATGCTTTTCAATGTCCTTTAGTTAAAAATTCATATGTATTGATTAGGGCAAGTGCTTGAGTCTCCTGAAGAACCGGTTGACACGCTTGCTTTCAATATACAGTCGGTCTGTGTTATTCATGGATTCTGTATTTGTGAATTTGCCTACTCACTAAAATTTATTTGTAACTCCCAAATCAATACTCAGGGAGCTTTCACTGTCCTTCACGGACAGAGTGACGAAAAATCTGAGTCACCCGACGTGCACATCCATCCCCAGCTGAGGTTGAACAAGTGTCCTTCTGCCTCCTTGTTTCAGCTCCTACTGTAAATGAGTATCCTTTCTGCAGCCTATCTAGTGCCATTTCTTTTTTCTTGCATTTTGTGCTTTTTTGTGTTGATTTCGCATCGTGCAGAAGCACTATGTTCCTAAGCGCACGAAGGCTGTGATGCACCTTCTGGAGAAAATTCATGTGAGATAAGCTCCAGTCAGGCACGAGTTACAGTGCTGCTGGCCATGCGTTCAACGTTAATGAATCAACAATGTAAATTAAACAAGGTGTCCTCAAATAGAAACACACGCAGAACAAAGTTACATACTGATCGATCGACTGACAAAAATGTCACGACCAGAGGCTGGCAGAAACTTAACCTCCTATTCCCCCCCTTAGAAGCAGTGGTTCTGAGTTCCTTGATTCAGTGTTCGAGGTGACTTTATAGAAATTAACTACCGCAAATAACAAGAATTGATTGTACATATATAATATATATGAAGGATTATGTAAAAGTATGTAATTCTGTTTCCCTTTTGTCCTCCACTTGCTCGGCCCCGCCCCAAAGATGGCCGCCCCCTGTACATCTTGCGTCTGGGCCACATGGACACCAAGGGCTTGATGAAGGCCGTGGGAGAGGAGGTGCTGCTGCAGCATGTGAGTTGGGGGTCCCCGCTCCTGGGAGCCCCCGGGGTTTCCTGCGGCTGGAGCAGCCAAGTGAACATTCGCCAGCACCTTCTCTGCTTTCCAGGTTCTTTGCGTCAATGAGGAAGGACAGAAGCGGTGTGAAGGGAACACAAAACAGTTTGGCCGTCCCATCAGGCAAGAACCCAGGCAAACTCCCCCAAACAATAAAAACAGCCAAAGTTCACTGGGCATGGATGCCGTGCCAGGCAGCCTGCTAGATGCTTTACGGAAATGTCCTCACCCAATTCTTACAGTTACCCTACGAGGCAGGGGCTCTCAGCATCCCTGTTCTTTATGGAGGGGAAACTGAGGCTCAGAGTGCTGAGGTCTTCCGAGGCTGCTGAGCGGGGAAGGGGCAGAGCTGGAGTTTGAACCCGGTCCTATCTGGCTTGGGCTCGCAGACTTTCTCCCCGTGCCATGCAGCCTCCTGGACTTGGCTTTTCGAGACCAGCGCTCCCCCCGCAAGAGCCACCCTGCCAGTGTCCCAGGCAGGTGGACCTCGCAGGTGTCATGGCACATCCAGTGACCCACTGCCTCCTCGGGCTGCCCCAAACTCCTATTCCTGAGCGGAGTTTCCCACACCAGTCCTTACAGTGGCATTGCCCCCAAAGGTACTTAACCTTTCTGAGCTGTGGCTTCCTCTTCTGTAAACCCTTCCTAGGGTTTCTTTATGGCTTATCAAAACCAATGACTTAATGGGAATTCCCTGGAAGTCTAGTGGTTAGCACTTGGCGCTTTCACTGCTGGGGCCTGGGTTCAATCCCTGGTCAGGGAACTAAGATCCTGTAAGCCATGACTTTAAGAGGTGATGCCAACACCACATAGCACTTCCTGTGTAGCAGGGACTCTTCCAAGCTCCTTGAGTCATGTCATCCTATCACAGCCTATAAGGGAGGGACAGGCAGGACCTGCTACTGAAGTTTTTATCCTGAAATATCCTGATCTTTGTGCAAATTAAGCTCCTTTGCTATTTAGAGCTTTCCTAAAGGGGCATCCATTGGGGTTGGAGTGGGGAATCGATCAATCATCATCCTGGCCAGAAGCGGAATGCCCCCCAGATGGCTCAGATGACAGGGTGTCATGAAGGCACTCCTAGGAGTGGGTGGGCAAGGTGAAGGGAATGAAGCTGGATGGACAGGCTCCCGGGGACCACTTGCTGCAGCCAAACAGTCATTTTCCTAATGAATTGGTTCTAATGAAATGGAGGCACAAAGAGGTTAAGTAACTTAGCCAAAGCCACACAGCACATGCCAGAGCTGGGATTTGAACCCAGGCCATCTGGCTCTGGAGTGTGTGCTCTATTTAGCAGTCAGCATCTTTTCAGCAATTAGTAGTAAAAACTGGCTTTTAATGAGCATGTGCTATGTGCCTGTCCTTGCAGAGAGCTTTACGTAGACCATCTCATTTAATCCTAACAATGGATGAGCTGGGGACTGTTACTGTGATTGCCGCTGTCCTGATGAGGAAGTGCCTGTGTCACACAGCTCTCAGGCACTTGAATTTGGGTGCTTAGCCTTGGTGTGCACACTCAGAACCTCCATGTTACGTGGCCTCCCTACGGTGGCAGGGTCCACAAGAGTGCCCTGTGGTCCCTGCCCCTTCTGCTCCCAGCGCTGCCTTACTGAGCCGCTCCCTCCATCCCTGTCTGTGGGCTCCCAGGTCCCTGAGGATGGTGTTGGGGGCCCTGGGAGGTGGCCGAGCGAGGTAGAGTGAGGGGGCATCTTTGCCGCAGCTCCTGGACCTGCCTGGTGGACCTGGAGGGTCTCAGCCTGCGGCACCTGTGGCGGCCAGGGATAAAGGCCTTGCTGCGCATGATCGAGGTGGTGGAGGACAATTATCCTGAGACCCTGGGCCGGCTGCTCATCGTGCGAGCCCCCCGCATCTTCCCTGTGCTCTGGACGCTGGTAAGAAAGAGCAGGAGCCTGAGATGGGAGGGGCCCTCTGTGAGCTGCTCCGCCCGATTTTCCTGCATTGTTTCCTCTAATTACCAGCTTTATTGAGATATACTTCATTTCCCATAAAGTTCACCCTTTTGGGAGTTCCCTGGTGGACTAGTGGTTAGGATTCCGGGCTTTCACTGCCATGACCCGGGTTCAGTCCCTGGTCGGGTAACTGAGATTCTGTAAGCCGCGTGGCACAGCCAAAAAAAACCCAAAAACAAAAAGTTCACCCTTTTAAAGTATAGAATTCAGTGGTTTTTAGTTTACTCACAGAGTTGTGCAACCATCACCACCAGCTAGTTCTAGAACATTTTCATCACCCCAAAAAGGAAGCCCTGTCCCCATTAGCAGTTCCTCCCCATTCCTCCCCCCCGCCCCCTGCAACCACTCATCTACTTTCTGTCTCTGTGGATTTGCCTGTCCTAGCTATTTCATGTGAGTGGAATCATACAATGTGAGGCTTTTTGTGTCTGATTTCTCTCACTTAGCATAATGATTTCAGGTTCATCCATGTTGTAGCAAGAATCATTTCTTCATTCCTTTTTATGTCTGGATAATATTCCATTGTATGGGTGGACCACATTTTACATGTCCACTGTCCTGCTTCGTGGACGGGAGAGCCACACTTAGAATTGTACAACATTCCTGGGACTGCTGTGAGCTGATTCCGAAGAGCGTTGGGATCCTGTGCTATTGGGATTTTAAAACTTTTTGCCCACAACCCACTTTATGTGGCCACCTGGTCTCCTCGTGTGGCTCGTGCCTATACACACACACACACACACACACACACCCGAAACAACAGATTCTCAAGTGGTGGTTATCGTAACTACTTACAACATGCTCTTTGCTATTCTTTTCTAGTCCGCTCCACTCAAAATAGGCTAGTCACAGAGCTAAATTGATATCACAACCACTACCGGATTATCACTTGCAGTTGAAAACCACTGCCCTGAGGCCTTGCTCCCGAAGTGTGTTCTGCAGGCCAGAGCAATGTCAGGTCCCTCTCCATCCTACAGACTCGGGGTCAACATCTTACCGAATGCCCTCGGGATTCGGTGCCTGGGAAAGCCTGAGAATCTCTGCTCTCCCTAGAGGTTCAATCAGGGTAGATTTGTGAGTTGAAAGTTAAATGGATTCAGTGTTTTACTAAGTGCCTGCTGTGTGCCAGGCACCTCTCCAGGCCCTGGGGATGCAGAGTGTGTACCCTTGCGTCACGGGGTGTTGGGGGGAGAGAAATCCAATAGCCCCACGTGACTAACTGCTTCATGATGCCCTGTGACATGGGCTTGGGGACGTTCAGGGTTCTTGGGGAGACTAAGTCAGGGGGCGAGGGGGTGTATAATTTAGGTTGGGGAGCTGAAGATGCTTCCACTGAGAAGGTGACATGGGTTGAGACATGAGGAAGGAGTGGGAGTCAAGTGGGAGAAGGGCGGGAGGAAGGGTGTGGTGGGTAACCTGCACAGCGCGTACAAAGGCCTGGAGGCAGGGCCCGGCTGGGTGCTTCCGAGGGACTGAAAAATCAGTGGCCAGAGGAGGCTGGGAAGATGCTCAGGGCCCAGTGCCTGCAGAGTCCAGGCTGTGGCGAAGATGGGACCTTGTCCTGGGGCAGTAGGGAGCCATGGCAGGACTGTTGGAGGAGAGGACATGAGCAGACTTCTGGGGCAGAAAGTTCCCTAGCTTCCGGGGCTACTTTACAGCTCTGTTGGGGATGGGCTGGGGAACAGGAGCTGTGGGAGGGACAGGCAGGATCTGCTACTGTAGCATTTTATCTTGAAATATCCTGATCTTTGTGAAAATTAAGTTTCTTTGCTGTTTGGAGATTTCCTAAGAAGATGCACGTCGGGTGGGGGTGGGAGCCAGTCGGTCGGGGTCCTGGACAGAAGCAGATTCACCCAGGTGACTCCAGTGGGGGTGTGACACAGCAGAACTCCTCAGGGGTGTGGGCAGGATGGGGAGGCCCCAGGGGCTGGCCACTGCCATAAGCCCTGACGACCCCAGGGCTGGAGGGACACGAGGAGGGAATGTCCTTGTTACTGGAGCCCTGAGAGAGCTTCGGCAGGTAAGGGTGGCGGCTGCCAGGGGCACTGGAGCAGGGAGGGAGCAGGGAAGACGCACCCACCTCCCATCTCCTGCTGCCCCCGCCCCCCTTCCCCCACTGGCCACACCAGATGAAAGCCAGTGCACAGAGCCAGGTTGCTGAGGCCCACGGGGACCACCTCCCGGGATGGGGGCTGAAGGAGTGTGACCCACACAGGTGGGATTTCTAGTTCCCAAATGATTTTTTAAAAATATTTATTTATTTAGGCTGCACCAGGTCTCAGCTGCAGCACACGGGGTCTTTGTTGCAGCATATTTAGTTGTGGCATGCAGACTTCTCAGTTGCAGCATGCATGTGGAATCTAGTTCCCCTACCAGGGATTGAGCCCAGGCCCCCTGCATTGGGAACATGGAGTCTTACCCGCTGGACCACCAGGGAAGTCCCCCAAATGATCTTTTGCCTGTGGCATTCCTTGCTGAATTGGCTTGTGCTCTACTGTGCTAAGTGCCTTCCTCCCTCCCCCCTCCCTCCCTCCCTCCCTCCCTCCCTCCCTCCCTCCCTTCCTTCCTTCCCCAACTATTTCCTGAGTCAGGCACCACCCCAGCATTGGGATGCCGTGAAAAACCAGACTGACGTGCAGCTTAGAGCTTGGTGTTGAAATACTTTCCATCCGGGATAAATGAAACATGGTCATCCACACAATGGAATATTATTCAGCCATGAAAAGGGAGTTCTTTTGTTTTCTTTTTTATGTTTTTAATTAATTTTTATCAGAGTATAGTTGATTTATAGTGTTGTGTTAGTTTCTGCTGTACAGCAAGGTGAATCAGTTGTACATATACATACATCCACTCTTTTTTAGTTTCTTTTCCCATATAGGTCGTTACAGAGTATTGAGTAGAGTTCCCTGTGCTATACACTAGGTTCTTATTAGTTATCTATTTTATATTTAGTAGTGTGTATATGTCAATCCCAATCTCCCAATTTATCCCTCCCCCCCCATTTCCCCCTTGGTAACCATAAGTTTGTTTTCTACATCTGTGACTCTGTTTCTGTTTTGTAAATAAGTTCATTTGTACCACATTGTTAGATTCCACATACAAGTGATATATTTGTCTTTCCCTCTGACTGACTTCACTCAGTATGGCAATCTCTAGGTGAAAAGGGAGTTGTGACTCATGCTACAACGTGGTTGAACCTTGAAAACGTGACGCTCAGTGAAAGAAGCCAGTCACAAAAGGCCACATGTTGTGTCATCCCATTTCTATGAAATTTCCAGAATAGGCAAAAAAAAAAAAAAAAAAAAAAAAGCATATTGGTGGTTTCCAGGGGCTGAGGGGAAAGGAAAGGGGAGTGACTGCTAACAGGTCTGAGGTTTCCTTTTGGGGGGAAGAAAATGTCTTGGAATTCGAGGTGATGGTTGCCCAACATAGTGAATGAACTAAAAGCCATCAAATTGTTCACTTTAAAATGGTTAACTATGTTCTGTGAATTACACTTCAATTAAAAAAAAACAACGTTCCGTCTTGCCCCATCTCCCCCTCTCAGATCAGCCCCTTCATCAATGAGAACACCAGGCAGAAGTTCCTCATCTACAGTGGCAGCAATTATCAGGGTCCCGGAGGCCTTGTCGACTACCTGGACAAAGAAGTGATCCCCGACTTCCTCGGGGGAGAGTGCCTGGTGAGGCCCCAGCCGGCCCTGCGCTTACGGCACGGGGAGGGTCTGTGGCCTCCGAGAGGCAGGGCTGCGGATGGGAGGTGGGAGGAGGGCAGGCCCTTTGTGTGTGCTCTGACATGTGCTGGCTCTTTGGGGCAGAGCTTGTCCTCTCTGAAGGAGGGGCCTGACCTTGGTTCTTTCAAACATAGTGAGCGAAACAGAAGTTTCCCGAAAGCTCAGAGACCAGGCCAGGCAAAGGCTTCCCCCTCTGTATTCCCATCCAGGACGCTGCTAGGCAGCAGTTAGGGTTTAGCTGCTGGCTTTGCACACTCTGCTGCAAGGGGAGGGGACTCAAGTGTCCCAGTGGCCTGAACCCCGAAGCTGGTGTACCCAGAGGGACTTATCCCCAGCCCACAGCCTCATGGCAGGGGATGATCAGGAAACTGTTTCCAGGGGAGGCGGCCCCAGACCCCCTTTTTCCCCCCAGACCACTTTTATTGCCTGCCCTGGAGGGTGAGATGATAGGCAGGGGTGACCCTATCTCATGACTGTGGGAGGGCAGGCCTTTTCCTTTCTCCAACAGAAATCTCAAAGAGCAAGCTTTCACGATTTCAGGGTAAAGAATGACGTTTCCTGGGCTTCCCTGGTGGTGCAGTGGTTGAGAGTCCGCCTGCCAATGCAGGGTACATGGGTTCGTGCCCTGGCCCGGGAGGATCCCACATGCCGCGGAGCGGCTGGGCCCGTGAGCCATGGCTGCTGAGCCTGCGCGTCCGGAGCCTGTGCTCTGCAACAGGAGAGACCACAACAGTGAGAGGCCCGTGTACCGCAAAAAACAAAACACAAAAAACAAAAAACGACGTTTCCTAGGAATTTTGCCAAGCTTACCCAGGTCTCCCCAGTTGTCAGGATATATATGCATGTTATAAGTGTGGTTTCAGGGGTCACAGAGCACCTTTCTGTGGGTCAGTCAGGCCTGGCTGGGCCCTGACTGTCTCTGCTGTCTTTGTCCCCCAGTGTAACGTCCCTGAAGGAGGGCTGGTCCCCAAGTCCCTCTACCTGACAGAAGAGGACCAGGAGCACAAAGACCAGCTGCAGCAGTGGAGAGAGACCTACCAGTCGGCCAGCGTGCTCCGCGGGGCCCCCCATGAGGTGCCGGGGTCCCGGCCTGGGCGGGCCTGCTGGGCTGGGTGTCGTTGTAGGTCAGGGACCCCGAAGTGGAGTCTGAGTTGAGGGTTCTTGTGCCAGTGATGTGTAGAGGATGAGGGCTCAGGAGAAACCTGTAAGGAGGGCCGGGGCAGAAGGTAAGCCAAGAGCTGGTTTTAGCCACGGTCTAGCCCAGCCTGATCCATGAGGAGAGCATGGCAGGGGGCCAGCCTCTTGTACCCTCATATCACCCAGTCACTGGCTGCGGGTCACCCTGCAGTCACCCTGCTTCAGGGTGGATCCTCCCAGGCATTTTTCAGACAGAGGTGGTTCTGTTTGTCCAGAGCAATTCTTGGACTTGGGGTCGGGGCTGAGGGAATGGAGACCGGGGTGGGCACCCACACCCCTGCAGCCGACTTCCCCACCCCGGCTCCCGCCAGGCTGGATGTTCAGACCTCACCTATCACCTGTCCCCACGTAGGTCGCAGTGGAGATTCTGGAGAGGGAGTCAGTCATCACCTGGGACTTTGACATCCTGCAAGGGGACGTGATATTCAGTCTGTACCACACCAAGCAGGCTCCCAAGCCGGGCCCCCGGGAGCCTGGTGCCAGGGCTGGCGGGCAGCTGACAGACAAAGGCTGGGCCCTGGGTGCAGATTACAGCCGTGTGGAGGCTCCCCTCATCTGCCGGGAAGGGGAGAGCATCCAGGTTCTGTTTCTTTCTTTTTTTTTTTTTTTAAATTTATTTATGTATTTATTTTTTTGCCCATGTTGGGTCTTTGTTGCTGTGCGTGGCTTGTCTCTAGTTGCGGCGAGCGGGGGCTACTCCTTCGTTGCGGTGCGCGGGCTTCTCATTGCCGTGGCTTCTCTTGCTGTGGAGCACAGGCCCTAGAGTGCATGGGCATCAGTAGTTGCAGTGTGCAGGCTCTAGGGCGCATGGGCTTCATTAGCTGTGGCTCGCAGGCTCTAGAGCACAGGCTCAGTAGTTGTGGCACACGGGCTTAGTTGCTCCGAGGCATGTGGGATCTTCCTGGACCAGGGATCGAACCCGTGTCCCCTGCATTGGCAGGTGGATTCTTAACCACTGCGCCACCAGGGAAGTTCCTAGGTTCTGTTTCTTCGTTCATTTATTCATTCATCACTCAGGACTGAGTGTCCACTGTATGCTGGGTTCTGGGGATACAGCAATGGACAAACTGGACCTGGTCTCTGGCCTCAGAGACCCTGCGGGACAGTTGGGGAGAAAGATTCTGGCAGGGCCCCATCCTCAGAATTCCGAGACTCTTGTCAAAGATGCAGGTTGCTGGGGCCCACGGCAGGAGGGCCGGCTCAGAACCTCTGGGCGTGGGGCCTGGTGTCTGTATCCCTCACCTCTCACTGTGATTCCTTATGCACAGTCACGTTTTCAGAACCCAGGCAACAGAGAAACTGTAGGTCTGGGAACAGCACTCGGACGTGTCACCAGAACGTGAGCCACCCCTGCTGACCCCCACATTCTCCATGAGGCCAGTGCTTGCAGGTCAAACATCACCGGCCTCAAACACACACGCACCCACGCACACACTGGCGAGCAGTGCAGATCTTACTGGAGGTCTCCTAAGGGAATTGAGCAGACAGCTGTCACATCATACACCAGCACCCCCGCCCCAGGGTCCCACCGAACATCCCAGCCCTTTTTCAAAGTTGCTCTTCTTATAAGAACTAACACCCTTCTGGGCTTCCCTGGTGGCGCAGTGGTTGAGAGTCCGCCTGCCAATGCAGGGGACACAGGTTCGTGCCCCGGTCTGGGAAGATCCCACATGCCGCGGAGCGGCTGGGCCTGTGAGCCATGGCTGCTGGGCCTGCGCGTCCGGAGGCTGTGCTCTGCAACGGGAGAGGCCACAGCAGTGAGAGGCCTGCGTACCGCAAAAAAAAACAAAAAACAAAAAAAAACTAACACCCTCCTTTCTTGCTGTCCCTCTGCCCTCAACAAACTCTAAGCACATTTAAGCTCCCTTTCCAGGTCTCCTCAATTTGCAAATCCCACTTGGCAGGACAAGAGCCCAGCAAAATCCAGGTGTTTAACCAAACCACACCTCTGTTGTCCTATAGCCGCACCCCCTAGGCCTTGACCCCCACCCCCCATCTCGATTAAGAGGAAGGCTCTCAGCTGCCAGGGATATGGGGTAACAGCAGAGGGGAAGCAAAGGTGGCTTTGGGACACCCCAAAAGGAAGGATTTGCTGGTGGACTGGTTTAGAAAGGTCTCCTGTTCCCTGGTGGACCAGGGCCTCAGGCGTGTGGCTGCTGTGTTTCAGGGCTCCCACGTGACCCAGTGGCCTGGCGTCTACCTGCTCCAGTGGCAAATGCACAGTGCCCCTGGCCACATGGCCTGCAGCCTCCCGGGCGTGGAGGATGTCCTGATGGCCCTGCACAGCCCTGGCCCCAGGTGCAAACTCCTCTACTACTACGAGGTGCTGGCGTCTGAGGACTTCAGGTACGAGGGGCCCCCGACTCCCCTCCAGACCAGGCCCACAGCATGCCTGAGGCCACTTCCTTCTGGGCTAGGGACACTGGATTCACCTCCTCTGCTTGCCCTCAAGCTTCTCCAGGGGTGGGGCCCTGGTATGGGTGTTGTTAAACTTGCCCGGGGCTCAGCGCCCTTTCATGAGCGATCAGATCGCTGTGCTGCTTCAGCCTCAGCTGCAGAAGCTTGCCTTCAAATGAAGCCATGCACAGAAGCCTAACATACCAGATCGATTGGTGGGGGGAGAAGGGGAGCCTGAGCCCTCCTATTTGTACCTCCCCTCACTCCTAGAATTCCATAAAACTGGGTTTGGACTGCTCTAGAACATTCTAGAATAATGCCTCCCAGACAACTCTCCCCAAGTGTTGCTGTCAGAGAGACAGGGATGTGTAGTGGTTAAGACCTCCAGCACTTCCTGGTTGCTCTGTGACCTCAGGCAAGTCACTTTAGTTCTCTGAGCCCCAACTGTTAACTAGGAGCCCCTACGTCATGGGGTTGTCCTGAGGATGAGATGGTTGGGGGAAGCCTGCCCTTCACCTGAGCATACAGTAAGCACTCAATAGTGCTTTCTTCCATACCTTGTGTTTTATCTTTTAAAAACAAGTGTGATTTTGCATCCTGCTTCGTGATATATCTGTGTAGTTTCCTTCTAAAAATGATGCTTTAAATTGTTTACCGATGAGTAAATTTGAGGCTCCAAGAGGGTACTGAGTCTGGACCCATATCCAAGGCAGAGCTCCAGGGATCCTAGGGGCATATGCAGCTGGCACAGGAAATGCTGGGCCTGGGGATTCCCTGGCGGTCCAGTGGTTAGGACTCCACGCTTTCACTGCCGAGGACGTGGGTTCAATCCTTGGTTGGGGAACTAAGATCCCACAAGCCGTAAGCACACCCCCCAAAAAAGAAAAGAAATGCTGGGCCAGCATCTTTACTCCAAAGGGAGACCCCACAGGGCGTCAGAGGGTGGTGATTCCCTTTGGGAAGCAGCCTGTTTTGGCCATTTGGGGCTCAATGTGGGAGAGAGAGACTGAGGTCCAGAGGCACTCAGACACACAGACACCTGCATCTGGGGGCTGCTGCCGTCGGAAGGGCAGGTGGAGGCTGAGGGGTGGGCCGGATGCTGCTTGCCAGCCTGTCTTGTGTGGTCAGTGTGGGGGAACCTTGCTGCCCTGACCTTCAACAGTGTCAGGAGAGAACCAGTTCAAGGCTGCTCTCAGTGGGCAACCGGTGGCCCTGGGGAGGCCAGACAGATAGGGTCTGCCATCATGGAGCAGGAGACCACGTATCCACACCCGAGCACCGATAGATGCCATGAAGTTATTTCAGCCTGGGGTCCTTGCTCAAGGTCACACTCCAGGAGGTGCTAGAGGCCTTAACATAGGGCGCTGTCAGAGCCCAGGACCAGGCCTGTCACAGGGTGGGCAGGGGTGCGGGGGTGTGGGGGAGGTGTCTGGGAAGTGACATTGGAGTTGAGATCTAGGCAGTGTGCACACGATCACCTGGAGGGCTCGTCAAAATGCAGACTCTGATTGTGCAGCTCTGGGGCGGGCCGGAGAGTCTGCAGCTCTAACAAGCTCCAGGAGATGCTGGTGCTGCTGGTCCCCAGACCACACTTTGAGTAGCTGGGCCCTAAGGCTGCACTCTCCAACCCGGTAGCTCCTAGCCAAAGGTAACAATTTAAACATAGCGATTAGAACTAAATAAAATGAAAAGTTTGGTTCCTGGTCACACTAGCCACATCTAGAATGCCCAGCAGCCCCATGTGGCCAATGGCAGCCGTGTTGGATGGCGCAGATATGGGACATCTGTTATTTGTCATAGCAGAAAGGTCTCCTGGACACTGCTGCTCCGTAGTCTGGAGTGGGATTTGACTGGGCAAATTGGGCAGGAGAAAAAGGCTTCTGGCAGCAGGTGTAGACACACAAGTTCCCACGATGGGAGGCAGGTGTCAGAGGAGCTGAAAGGAGGCGGAGAGGGGAGGCTGGAGATAACGGGGTCCCCTCTGCGCCATGCTAGGCCCCCGGGTCAGGGAAGCCCCTGAATGGTAGGTGGAAGGCTGGGCTCTTCTTGCGGGGAAGTGGGTGCAAGGAAATGGGCTGGGCTTCGTTTCTCATCACAGCTTCACTTGCTTTTCCCTCTGCACTTGCCCTCTGTGCCTGGGGCGGTTACCAGCCTTGTGGAAAGGGCCCTGGGGCCTCATTTGCACCCAGGGCTGTGTCACCACCAGAAGGCAACGTGTGTGTGCTTCCTCCCCAGGGGCTCCATGTCCAGCCTGGAATCCTGCACCAGCCGCTTCTCCCAGCTCAGCGCCACCACCTCCTCCTCCGGCCAGTCCCACAGCAGCTCCCTGGTCTCCAGATAGTCAGGACCGAGCCCTGCGGGGCAGCCTGCTCGCCTCCCACATCCACAAGTATCCACGAGGCCTGGGACCATGTGGGCTGCAGCCCTGGATCTGGACATAGCCAAAGTCGGGCTGGCTGGAGCCCTGTGGGCTCTTGAAGTGGTGAGAACAGAATCATCTCCGATGGGGCTTTGCGTACGAAAAGCCAAGGGGTGGGCTAACCACGTTCAGGTCTGGGGGCTCAGGGATGTCATCAGGCTCAGTGCCCCCCTGCACCCTGCCACCTCTGGCTCTGCTTCCCTGGGGTGGCCTCCTTCTCAGGGGCCTCCTAAGACTATTGGGGTTCCCCCCATAAGAAGCAGGAATGTTGGGTGTTCGCCATAGCGTCTAAACCCGTAGCGATGCCCTGGGTCCCAGGATATGCTGGTGAGCAGTTATTTGAGTTACAGGCCCCACTTTGTGGGGGAGCCGCCTACCCTGGACTTGAAGTTCATTTTCCCAGCACATGACTGGGCAGGCCTAACCCTGACCACCCCTGACTTGAAGAGGGTGGGAAGGCCCAGGTTTTCTGCTGAGTTCCAGGCAGTGATAAAGCGGCTCTGGCTATCTTTATACTCTCTGGTGGTCCCTTTACTCTCCTGGGAATCTGTTTAATTGAAAGTTTTTTGGTTGTAAGTCACCTCCCAGTGGCTTAAACAAAAAAGGGTGACCAATCATGGGTGCATGTAACTGGCCAGTGTAGGAGGACTTGCTTCAGGTAAGGCTGGATCCAGGCTCTCAATGTGTCATCAGGACTCCCCTGTGGAGTGGGGGCTATGACTTTGTTGCAGCTGCCCTGGGGCAAATCTGACCCCCAGAACCAGCTCCAATATTGAAAGACTTTCCCCGAGTTCCTGCATGGGAGGGGTGTGGGTCTCCTTGGGGTCTGAGGACATTTCTCCTTTCATTTCCTGGGCCTGCAAAAAGGCAACAGGTCAGAGGTCACCACTGGCAGCCTGCAGTCTGATCTGGCCTGCTTTTAATTTTTTTTTTTTTTTTTTTGCGGTACGCGGGCCTCTCACTGTTGTGGCCTCTCCCGTTGCGGAGCACAGGCTCCGGACGTGCAGGCTCAGCAGCCATGGCTCACGGGCCCAGCCGTTCCACGGCATGTGGGATCTTCCCGGACCGGGGCACGAACCTGAGTCCTCTGCATTGGCAGGCAGACTCTCAACCACTAGCGCCACCAGGGAAGCCCCCGGCCAGCTTTTAGTGTTTTTGTTTTTTGCCTAAACAAAAGGTTTAATAATTGGGGCATTTCACACAGAAATCAGGATTTACAGCTTCACTTAAGCATATAGGAGTGTTGGCCAAACAGAGCCACTATTGCTGTGTAAAGACAACACAGCTGCGCCCCTGGATGGGGCCACCCCAGTCCCCGCCCCTCTCTATCAACCCACCCCTAGCCCACATCACTCACTTGCATTATCTGCCTGGGAGGGACTTCACTGAAGTAACTCCACAGTCTGGGGTGAGAGACTCAGCGTTACTCTCATCTCACAGCTTTGCTTACAGTTGGGGTTGTCTCTGGCTGACACCCAGAGTCGCTGGGCCTTGCCCAAGGAGTGAGTTCACAACCAAGGGGATGCCACCTCCATGCAAGCTCGACATGACGGGGCAAGGACCTACTTCCATGCCACCCTCAACCCCATACCTGGAGTAGAGGGAAGGAGCCGTCCTCAGAGACCCCCTTCTCCCTGCAGAGAGGGAGCCTTGCCCACCTTTAAGGTTTTCAGTTCACTTCTCAGATATAGGAACAAAATCCCAAACTCTGTATCCTGCATTAAGGTGTATGTGTACATGCATGAGGGAGAGAGAGAGGGAGGAAGATTGGAGACATTCTTAAAACGAATTGCTCCCGTGTCACCAGGCGTTTATCGCTGGGAGCAATCTGCAATATTTTCAACTATCTTTAGGTGAATTTCTAGCTTGTCTCTACAAACTAGAAGCATTTTGGGGTAAGCTGCCCTGGCACTCCCCGCACACTTAGTGTCTAGGACTAGCCCCCAGTGAAGGATGGAGAAGCCCTTCCTTCACTTGAGTTTATAAGTAGCTTTTGACAAGTGGAACCTGGATCTGCTGATTCCAGAGAGGAAGGTCGGCTATCAGCTGTGCAGACTTAGCAGCAGCAGCAGCGATAAGGAGCCTCAACCCTCTCTTTTTGAGAGCTTGCTCTCCTCCCCACCTCAGGAAAGCCCCAGCTCAAACAGGTTTAAGCAACAAAGGGAATTCCCTGGCTCCTGTAACTGGGATGGCCGAGGGTGGTGCTTGCTTGCTTCCGGTACGACTGCATGCAGGAGCCCAGTGTCCTCAGGCTCATGTGCTGATCCTTAGCCTCACCCAGGCCTCTTGGTTCTGCATCACTTTGCATGCTGGCCTGTCCTCTTGTCCACCTTCAGGGGAAGGTGGCTGCCAGCAGCCCCTAGCCTACAACCACAGGGCTCTCAATCTCTAAGCCAGAAAGAGCCTCTTTCCATCTCAAATCCCAGAGAAGGCTCTGACTGGCCCTGGGCAAGTCACGTACTCACTCTTGTGGACATACTGACCAAGAGGCTGGGGGTCCTGTGATCGACATTCCCTCCAGAAGCAAGAGTGGAGTAGGGGAGGGCCAGTCACCCAATGGACAAAGGGAGCTGGGCCACAGGAGCAGCAGGTGGCCACAGTGGCATCTGCTATTGTTCTTCTGTGCTGGAGGTCCCTGGGGCCCATGTTGGAGCATCATCAGTCAGTAGCCATTCTTCTTACCTTTGGGAGGCTTGGGGTTAAAAATCCCAGGAAGTGCTGCCGAGCTCTTGGCTTCTGAATTTCCCCAGACCCCAGGGCTGGAAGCTCCTTGCCTTGGTTTTTCCCTCCATCTTGTTCATTAGCCTATTGTGGCCAGGACAGAAATGGCCCATTAGCAATAGGACCTGCCCAGGCACTGGGTTTAGGAGCCCGGGTCGTAAAATCTCGACAAAGTGGGGTTCAAGCCGCAGCCATCCTTTCACTAGCTGTGTGACCTCCAGCAGGTGACCTAACCTCTCTTTGCCTAAATATCCTCATCTGTAAACTAGGGATAGCAGAGCCTACCTCATTCACTGGGTTGTAGTGGGATGAAACAAGAGTGGCTGTGAAGTCCTCAGCCTGGCACATGGAAAGCTCTTGATAAAAGTCAGTGGTTATTCTGATTATTTAATGCTTCTCATCCAAAGACTCCAGACTTCCTGTGAGGACATCCGTCACTGTTTTACACACTGTGCATCTGGAGAAAAGTGGGAGATTGGGATACTAGTTACCTCTGACTTTCCCTTTTTAGAAACTGCTTGTGTTCTCTGGGCACATCCACTCATCTGTAAGAGCATCATTCCAAGTGGTGTTTCCCTCAACAAGCTACAGAATGTTCTCCCCACGGGTTGAGACTTTTTTTCCTACCCTGCGTCTGGAATTTCTCCCCCTGTAAAATGAACTGATCACACAGTCTGTTTCAGCCAGGAAAACACGATGTTTCTTGTTCACCGGATCGTTTGCTCCAACCAGAAGCATTAAACGTTTTAGATTTGGATATACCTCTGTTGTCCACTTCCTAGAACCCTGGAGGTTTCCCTGGATTTGTTCAAGAATTACTCAGCTGTTGCTTAAAAGACTCAAGAGCATGTTCAACAGGGGTGACATCACCCTTAAGGGGTTGTAGATTGGTTCTCGGAGGGAAGAGGGTGGCACAAAAAAATCACGTTTTTAACATATAAAGCACAAATATAGTGTATTAGTTTCCTAGGGCTGCTGTACCAAATTACCACAAAGTCGTAGCTTAAAACAGTAGAAATTGATTCCCTCACAGTCTGGAGGGCAGAAGTCTGAGATGAAGGTGTTGGCAGGGTTGTGTTCCCTCCTAAGGCTTTAGGGGAGGATCCTTCCTGCCTCTTCCAGCCTCTGGAGGCTCCTGGTGTTCCTTGGCTTGTGGCCACATCACTCCACTCTCTGCCTCTGTCTTTACCTGGCCTTCACCTCTTTGTGTCTTCTCTTATATAAGGACACCCAGTCATTGGATTTAGGGCCCATTAAATCCAGGATGATTTCATCTCAAGACCCTTAACCAATTACACTGGCAAGAATGCTACTTCCATGTAAGGTCACATTCTGAGGTCCTGGGTGGACATGAATTCTGGGGCGACACTATTCAACCCACCACATATGCATACAGTGCATGAACAGACACATGTGCAGTTTTCAGTGTATTAAATGCGGGCCTCTAGGCCCCACTCATCACTGCCAACACCGAGTCTTGGGAGTGGGCTCCTGGATTCTACTTGCCAGGTATCCAGGTGAAGATGTGGGCCCTGCTGTCCATCTTCCTGGGCTGCTCTGCCCTCTCCCCTGGGTTTTACCCAAGTCCCAGAGTTGCATCAGAGGACAGCCAAGTCCTGACATCAGGAGGGGGCGGGGGCCTGTCTGGGGTGGCCCCTGTCCTTCCTGCGAGCGCCCCTGGGACACAGAGTAAGGTGTCACAGGCGTCGTGGAATTCCCTTTTTTTTTTTTTTTTTTTTTTGCGGTACGCGGGCCTCTCACTGTTGCGGCCTCTCCCGTTGCGGAGCACAGGCTCCGGACGCACAGGCCCAGCGGCCATGGCTCACGGGCCCAGCCGCTCCGCGGCATGTGGGATCTTCCCGGACCGGGGCACGAACCCGTGTCCCCTGCATCGGCAGGCGGACTCTCAACCACTGTGCCACCAGGAAGCCCGGAATTCCCTTTTTTTTTTGGCCGCAGCCGTGCAGCTTGCAGGATCTTAGCTCCCCGACCAGGGATTGAACCCGGGCCCCAGGCAGTGAAAGCGCTGAGTCCTAACCACTGGAAGGGTCCCTTGTTTTGGAGCAGGAGGCCAAGGGCTGTCGGGGGAGCAGAGGAGGTGCGGTTCCTGTGGCTGCGTTCGGCGCCCCCCCATCCCCCCCGCCCCCACCCGCCCGGAGAGGTAGCAATCAGCTGCTGCTTTTCCACTGGTTGCCCAGGAGCTGTTGGGCAGCGGCTCTCACAACAGCCAGCTGCCATGGGTGTGGCTAAGAGCTCCCTGTGGCAGGTGAGCTGGGGTCAGGCCTGAGCTAGGGTCAGGTTCCACTGCTGACGTCTGGGAGGCCCCTCGGGTTTTCGGTCCAGAGAGGGCAGAACACAACACACCCAGCCTCCCTGTGGCCCAAAGGCTTCCTCTGGGACCAATTCCTCCGAGGCCAGGGGCCTCTGCAGAGGAGGCGGGTCTCAGGGTGCAAGTAGCTCTTGTGGGAGTTTGGGCAGAGCCTGGAAGGAGCTGGAGAGAGCTGGAAGGAAAGGTGCTGGGTGGCTCTCAAACTTCTCCCCAGCCCATTTCCCCTCCCCTCCCTTCAGCACCCACCAAGGCACTGCTGAGAAATGCGGGTCCCCAAAAAGCACAATTTGAAACCCCTGACCTAAGAGTCCTGGAGCCAGGACACAGATCCTTCGAGAATCCGATGCAAGCTGTGGCGTCACACTTGAATCCCGTTTCCATTTCAGGGCCCCTGAGCCCACCCGTTGACCCCAGGATTGGAATCTTTTTCTGGGGTCTTTCCAGATACTAAAACTAAATAAGGAGCAGCCCAGCAGCTGAGACACATGTCACCATGGCAACTGCCCAACACACAGAACTCTTGGGGTTCCAAGTCAGGCCCCCAGGACTTCTAGTACACATTCTGTGCCCGGGAGTCTTCCATCACTCCCATGGGGTGGGGAGGGAACACTTGCACAGCCATAAGTAGCCCATGTTAACCCCGACCTGCAGTACCGATGACTTAGGCTCCTGTATGTTCGTGTCACAGGTGTTCCCCCAACACCACAGGTAGGTACTGGAATCTCAGACACTATCTTGCCTCCTGCTCCATGTCCCATCTAAGCTCTGCAAATTCCCAACTCCAAAATGTCATGAGTTTCAGATTCTTGGGGTTGCAAGAGACCCCAAAATCCAACACAAACTCTCTCAAGCAAAACGGGGATTTACTGGTCCATGTAATTGGGAAGTCCAAGAATGCTTCAGGTATAGCT